CTAACGGCAATAATTAACAACGTTAATTTTTTCTGTTAAATTTGTTGACGGCGTGCCAAATTGGCAAGTCAACAAAAACTTTGTTAATTAATTCGAAAGTCAATGAAAAGTTTATGTTTTTTTTGGTCATGCCAAAAGTTCAGGTTTCTTTTGGCAATTCGTGTAAAGTTCGTGTTTTTTTTGGCCGAATTCTCATATTATATTGTCACTGTTAATCTTAGTGATTACGATGTACTATAGTCGAAGACAAGAGGAGAACAATCTTAGATCTCAAGTGATAACGACGCTTCAACCACCGGCAAAACCCCACCACCACCTGTGACTATTTTCAGCAAAAAGACTTTTATGTATTATGCTCTTATGGTTATTTAGAAATACTTTCAGTTTTTTATATTCTTCTATGATATCTTATACAAGTTACAACAAACAAAAAATAACTCATCCTATTATCATTCTGTAGAACAACAATTTCTCTCTACATTGCGCATAAACTGCATACTCTATCTATACATCCAGTAGTTTTAGCTAAAATGATTTTGGTATGGTCCGTGTAACACCATTATGTGATTCACAAATCCACCTATAGAGAGAGACATTCTACAGTTTCATGAAAGTCCTTCCATGATGCCTACAAATTATTTTCATAATCACTAATGGATCTCTACTCATCTTCACAGATCCTTTGCAGTCGGTGAAATCACTCGAGTGATTGTTTTCATCCCAAATATGTTGTCCAGCGAACTGTGTGATATGGCCCCATAAAGGCCCTTGAATGTTGTTGATAAAGACTTTTGCACTCTCCAAATAAAGTAATAAACCCGTTTACCGTCTATGAACGTCATTCTAAAGGTCCCCATACTTGTAGTACCTTGATCATTATTACAGAGATTGTTAATATAAAATCCACAATACATACTATCGTTTCACTTATTGAGAGAACAAATAACCACCCCGCTGACCCGCCAACCCACGGGTTTTAGTTATTTTTTTTGTTAAAGAATCTGATCCGCACAACTTGTGACTGTATAAATTTTCATCCACATCCGCTTCGCTTAATTTTGCGGGTAACCTACGGGATCCATGGATAATATATCTATTTTTAAAAAATAATTATTTTTTTTTTTTTATGAAAACGTAATAAAATAATATATTTATAATAAAATTATATATTTACAAATTTTTAATTATTATTTTTTAATAAATACCGTAATTTTTAAAAAATATTTGTTTTTCCAAAAAAATACTATTTTCTAACAAAAAACACAATTTAAACAAAAATGAAAAAAACAATTTGCGGGTTGGCGAGTATCCGCGATTAAAAATTCACCAACCCACACCCGCCCCACATAAAATAATCAAAACCCGCACCCACACCCATCGATCGATTTTTTCAAATTGTTCAACCCACACCTATCCCGCAACAGATCAAACAGGGCGAAACCCACGATGATGACTCATATTCCCAGCTCTAAATAAAACCAACATAAGTCCATACGAAACTCACATCTACGGATCTATAAATCACCATATGTTTCCACTATCATAATTTTCGTCTGCAGTCCAACTTTTTTTCTCAATAGAGTTCATCATTTTAATCCTTTTTCTCCTACTAATATATGCTAGCTAAAAACCCAGCTAATTTAGCATTAAAACAAGGATAATTAGAAGCTCATTAATGGTCTCTGTCATATTTTCTATCCATAACAACCTTTCTGCGTCAATAAATGTCTGCAGAAAATCAGAAATCTTTCCGCAGTCCCTAATCAATACTACTAATTGATTAACGGTCCACAAATAACCCAAATAAAATCCATAAAATAATCCTTGCATTTCTAATTTACTAGTACTAAAACCTCTCTATAAAGCACACACTATATAGTACATGATTGATTATTAGTACCAGTCACCGTATCTATTATTATTATTGAAATACCGAATCTTTTGGTTACTGAGACCAATAATAATTTAATTAAATACAGTACAAAAAAAAATACAACGGTAATTGTTTCTTTTCCGACAAATTAGATATCTACATATTTACTGTGTAATAACTACCTATCCTCAAGTAGGATTGGTCCAAAGAAAACATAATTATGTTGACTCAGAGCATTAATAGTAATTTAATATTACTTTTATATTTATGCTTTTCCAATGAATTTAAACGATTCAGACAGATGCTCCCTCTCTCTCTCTCTCTTCTCTGCACACTGCACAAACACAAAATTTTACAGACCACCACTGTCTTAAATTGGATCTGTGAGCCCTCTCTCTCTCTCACAATCTCCATTATCTCTCCTTCTTCTCTCTCTCTCTCTCTCTCTCTCTGCTTTATTTATTTATTTTACAGTCTTTTCGTTGTAAACTCCCTCAATCATCTCTGAACTTAAAGATTCTCCGATCCACACCGGATCTAAACCGAACTCCATCGTTTCTTTTCACGATTCAATCGATGTTATGAATCCTCTCTGCTGCATTGCTCCGGTTTCAATCGATGACCGAACCAACCCGGTTATCGCCAAACCGGCGTCGAATCAACAACAACAACAACACTCTCTCGTACCTAGCAACAACCACGCTTCCAAGCCTTCCTTCTCAACGCAAGCCTCTTGGATCAGCCAAGATCAGCTCGAGAGGCTCTCTTCCGAGGACGTGAATCTCGAGGGGAAAGACTCTTCTTCAAACGGAGGCTTCTTCTTTGGGAATGGAGTTGGTGGTGGAGTCGCTGGGATCATGTATAAGTGGACACACTATGGTAAAGGGTGGAGAGCTAGGTGGTTTGAGCTTGAAGACGGTGTTTTGTCTTATTACAAGATCCATGGTCCTGATAAGATTGTGATGAATCCCGCTAGAGAGAAAGGTGTTAGAGTGATCGGTGAGGACTCTGTTAGGTATATTAGAAAAGCTAGCTGTGGAAGCAGCAACAAGCTTGGAGCTGGAGGTTCTGCAGCTGCTTCTTCAAGGCCTTGTAAACCTTTTGGAGAAGTACATTTAAAGGTACAATCTTGATCTTTGATTTTGCATGAAGAAACATTTTATTTAACTCTGGCTTTGTTTTGTTTTGTTTTGTTTTGTTTGTAGGTTTCTTCAATTCGTGCGAGTAAGTCTGATGACAAGAGGCTTACTATATTCACGGGTACGAAGACTCTTCATTTACGTTGTGTGACCAGAGAGAATAGAGCGACTTGGGTTGAGGCTTTGCAGGTGGCCAAGGATCTTTTCCCTAGAGTGCCTAGTGGAGATATTTTACCTTGTGAAGATGCGGTTGTTTCCACTGAGAAGCTGCGTGAGAGGTTAATGCAGGAAGGGATTGGTGAGGCTGTGGTTAAAGATTGTGAGACTATTATGCTTTCGGAAGTTTCTAATCTGCAGAACCGGTTGAAGGTTCTCACACAGAAACACGTTATACTTCTAGATACACTGAGACAGTTGGAGGTATGTTTTTGGTTCTTCCCTATGCACACATTTTGAAAATAGATGTGAGTTTTATGTTTCTTGCTGCCATGGACTCTGCTTAATCTAAACCGTCACTGCTACTACTCATTGTATAGTGAACACATTGCATTAACAACCTCATGTTTGTCTCTCCTTCGCCTTATAGTAGACTAATTGATAGTGGTTCTTTAAAAATCATCATGCAGACTGAAAAAATAGAGCTGGAAACTACTGTTGTTGATGAAACAAAGGAGCATGACTCTTGCTGTGGACAGGGAAGACGATTTAGTGGTTAGTTACTTTACATGTTTGTGGTTTCTTTCATAAACTTTAATTATATATATATGATGGTAAATTCTTACTTGACTCTGCTAAGATAGTTTTGTGTGTTTTGATATCATTGTTCTCCAACAGATTTCTATTCAGTGGTGTCAGAGGTATCTCCAAGCGACTCTGAGGCAGATAATGAAAGTCAAGATGGAGCAGATGTTGAATCTGATGAAGATGATGTAGCTTTCTTTGATACAAATGATATCTTATCAGCAGACGCACTGAGAAGTGCTTCTTACCGAAGCAGAGAAGCTGAAGGCAATGGTTCTATCTACGACAAAGACTCATTTTTCTCTGACCGCCTGCAAGCTCCCGTTAGGATTCCGCAGTATCCATATGTGAGAAGAAGGGATAATTTACCAGAGCCAAAGGAGAAGGAGAAGCCAGTTGGATTGTGGTCAATCATCAAAGAGAACATTGGCAAAGACTTGTCTGGAGTTTGTCTCCCTGTTTATTTTAATGAGCCACTTTCTTCTCTGCAGAAGTGCTTTGAGGATTTGGAGTACTCTTACTTGATAGATAGAGCACTTGAGTGGGGAAAACAGGTCAGTTATGTTTGAAATATAAGTAGTTATCATCTTGTGAGTTTCACTCCCAAAGCTGAAACAACTTTGTTTTAACATTATAGTGTTATCTCATTTCAGGGCAATGAGTTGATGAGGCTTCTAAACATTGCAGCTTTCGCTGTATCTGGCTATGCCTCCACGGAAGGCAGACAATGCAAGCCTTTTAATCCTCTACTTGGTGAGACATATGAAGCTGATTACCCTGATAAAGGACTTCGTTTCTTCTCTGAGAAGGTAAGTTAACCAACACATCTTTCTCCTCTTTTACTGCATGAGTTGTATTGAAATGAGATAAATGTTACATTTGATTAATTTTCTAAATTTATTGGGCATATGTAATAGCAACCTCCTTACATTTCTGTCAACATTATTCTGCTGTTTAGGTGAGTCATCATCCAATGATTGTTGCTTGCCACTGTGAGGGACAAGGTTGGAATTTCTGGGGAGACTCAAATATCAAAGGAAAGTTTTGGGGACGGTCCATCCAACTTGATCCAGTGGGTGTCTTGACATTAAAATTTGATGATGGTGAGACATATCAATGGAGCAAGGTTACCACTTCCATATACAACATCATCCTAGGGAAACTTTACTGTGATCATTATGGAACTATGCGCATCAAAGGCGGTGGCAATTATTCCTGCAGGCTGAAGTTCAAGGAGCAGTCAGTCATAGATAGGAACCCTCGTCAGGTAGTAGAATGATTTTTAAAATTTTCTTTCTGCTCCATAGCATCAAGAAATACAGAGAGAACAATAAAGAGTCATCATTGGTTTTTGTAATTCATATTTCAGGTTCATGGGTTTGTGCAAGACAATAGAACTGGGGAGAAAGTAGCTATCTTGATAGGCAAATGGGATGAAGCAATGTACTATGTGTTGGGTGATCCGACAACAAAACCAAAAGGATATGATCCAATGACAGAAGCTGTGTTACTTTGGGAAAGAGACAAATCTCCAACAAAAACAAGATACAACCTCTCCCCTTTTGCAATCTCTCTTAATGAGATAACTCCTGGGATGATGGACAAACTGCCTCCAACAGATTCAAGATTGAGACCTGACCAAAGACACTTGGAAAACGGTGAATACGAGGCAGCAAATGCTGAGAAACTGAGACTTGAACAGCTGCAGAGACAGGTACAAATATTCACTTTTATGAAATTTGCGTATCCAGGTGATATCATCTTGATTGATTAAGGCTATTTTGTTAGTATAGTTTGATGACTATGTTACTGAATGTTGAAGAGTGTGTTTTGAATTTTTGTGTGTGGTGTAGGCAAGGAGGCTGCAGGAGAAAGGATGGAAACCAAGATGGTTTGAAAAGGATGAAGAAGGGAATTATCGGTATGTAGGAGGGTATTGGGAAGCAAGAGAGAAGAAAGATTGGGATAAGATCACTGACATTTTCAAGAAGCAGCAGCAGCAACAGCGTAACAGTGTTTCATCTTCTTCATAATCATCTCATGTTTTTGTTCTTTTATTTGTTTCCTTTTTTAAAATTAATATATATTGAAAGATTTTCACCATTCCTTCATTGTGCTTCTGTGAAAATTTGGCCAGAACCTTTGTTGGTGTGTGTGTGTGTGTGCATTATATGTAGATGTCAATCAGACTTGTTGGAGGTAGTAAATTATCCGATTAGGATTCTGGTTTCTACTAAATAACTACTAAATGTTAACAAGGTGATACATTTTTACTCAAAGATCAAAACTGCTGACAGAACAAAAAATGAGGATGAGGTCACTTCCAAGCTTTCCTTCCTCTAAACTGGCTTCCGCTGAGGCTATTCTTCATTTTCTTTGCTCGCTTTGCTTTCCCAGCCTTTGATCTTATCGCAGCAAGACTGCAAGAGGCGTGTGTTCTTCCTGTGCTTCTTCTGCTTTAACTAACTCCAGTCTTAAGAAGAAGAAGAGATGTACCAAGGTGAAGTATGAAAGCAAGCTTCACAAATCTCAATAACAACTCTGTCATGTCTATCACTTTTATTGCCAAGTTCACAAAGGGTAGCAAGTGCTCTCTTAGCCTTTGTTTCATCTTCTTGCTACAAAATAAAATAGAGTCTTTTTCTTCTTGGGGTATTTAGTGGTATGTGGCATCAATAAACACAACTAGCCTCTGATTTCATCAGTTTCTTTAGACTAGATTTTTGTTTCATCTTTCGGTTGAGCTTTTACAAAACTTTTTATCAACCCAACTAAAGTATTTTTCATCTTCTCACTTTCCCACTTCAAGTGTTAACAGTAATTTAGGTTTCCAGAAAAATCGACTTCTAACACATGAATGGTAGAAAGTGAGAAAATGAAGAATACTTTAATGGGTTTGATATTTTTTTTTATAAAATCACAACCGAAAGAGGAAGCAAAAAGTTTAGTCTAACGAAACCGACGAAATCACATACTGATTCTGTTTAAATACCCCAAGAAGAAAAAAACTCTAATTTATTATTACAGATAAATGTTTAATTTATTTATTGTACCAGGTTGGTTTAGGATTTGATCTGATTATTTGATTCTGTCGGTTTAGGATTTGATAAATCATGAGAAATATAAAACATTGTCTGTATCTCACTTTTCATCTTATATGCAATTTTAAGAACGTTTCATGTTTTATCTCGTACTAGCTAGAGTAAAGAGATACATGAAGCTATAAAAATCTTAGATAGTTAAACTTACCATCACTGATATAAGCCTAAGACGAGATGTGAGAAACGTGCAATGTTTAATTTTTCATAATTGTAGTTGGTGTATATCTTTTAACACAATGTAATCTATTTATAGGATAAAAACAAATCAAAATAACGCAAAACGCACATTTACTACAAATAAAGTTAGAAAATTAAAAGTAATGTAACTTGTGGTAGTCTGGTAGATATATGCTTGTAATGATATATTATCAACCGGGTTGTAACGGAAACCACTAATAAATCATTTATAGAAATGTATGGTAGGAATTATAAAAACGTTATTGATATTTATATGTATGTAAGTAAAATTTTGAAACATACATTATTAAACGAAGGGCATAGATATATAGTATTTGAGAATTTCAAGTCTTTCTTCAGTATAGTGAGTGAATAGCACCAAGAACGAAACATACACTTATTTGTCACACAGACTCGCAATAACATGACAAACATATATCGCATGTATTTTTTGCGAATCATTTATTTGAGCTTTTCTTGTTCTGTGTATTTTCTTCATTTTCCAATAAACACAATTCGCATTTGCCATCATTTTTACTGCAATACGCCAATAATTCTATTTGGCAATATATTTAAATGACCTAAGCACTGTATGTTAATTCTAAACGGTTTCCCTTCTGTTTCGGTATAATGAAAAAGTTTTATTATAACTATAAGGTTATGTCACCAAAGACATGAGCGAAAATTTTGCATTTGTATGAGCATTCTTTGCGCTTGTTGCGCATATTCCCAACACACACCAATTGCATTGTCACTACTAACCTATCTATTCCTTCCGTGTCTCACACGAAACTGTTATCTTCTTGAAATAGACCATCTTACCAGAGCTAACTGTCTCCAGAAGATAGCCACAAAAGTGGTGTTCTTGAGCCAAAATATAAAACGCATGAAAACAAATCCTCAAATACTCTTTCAGCCATTTCACTTCTACACCAAACTAGAGAGAGCTTACAATGTCTGAACCCTCTTCCTCTTCCATGTCTTTACCAGAGAGAATTTACAATCATCTTTGCCTCTTCGATGTTTCTCTCGCGTTGTTAGGACTGTTTGTTTTCTGTTGCGTGCGGGAGAAGTTAGCCAAGAAGCCAGGACCAACGACCTGGCCAGTGTTTGGAGTCACTCCAGAGTTCTTCTTCAACAGGAATGATGTCTATGGTTGGGTCACAAGATGTTTAAAAACATGTCGAGGCACATTTCTTTACCGCGGAATCTGGCTTGGTGGTTCTTATGGAGCAGTGACTTGTGTACCCGCTAACGTTGAGTACATGCTCAAAACCAACTTCAAGAACTTCCCCAAGGGCGTCTTCTTCAACGAAAGATTCAACGATCTCCTCGAGGAAGGTATCTTTAACGCTGATCATGAATCTTGGAAGGAGCAAAGACGGGTCATCATAACAGAAATGCATTCAACTAGGTTTGTGGAGCATTCTTTTCAGACAACACAGGATTTGGTTAGGGAGAAGCTGTTGAATGTGATGGAGAGTTTTGCAAAGTCACAAGAAGCTTTTGACCTACAAGATGTGTTGTTACGCTTGACGTTTGACAACATATGTATCGCTGGTCTTGGTGACAACCCTGGAACTTTGGATTCTGATCTTCCCATTGTCCCATTTGCTCAAGCTTTTGAAGAAGCAACGGAGTCTACTCTTTTCAGATTCATGATTCCTCCCTTTGTGTGGAAGACTATGAGGTTTTTGGACATAGGGTATGAGAGAGGCCTGAGGAAAGCTGTTGAGGTGGTTCATGAGTTTGTAGACAAGATGGTCGTGGAACGTATCTGCAAGCTCAAGGAGGAGAAAACATTAGGGAACAGATCAGATGTTTTGTCAAGAATCATTGAGATAGAGAGTCACAAGAAGAGTGATGAGAAAGATCTTTCTATAGTCAAATTCTTCAGACAGTTCTGCACAAGTTTCATCTTAGCTGGGAGAGACACGAGTTCGGTTGCACTAACATGGTTCTTTTGGGTGATACAAAAACATCCAGAAGTTGAAAACAAAATCATAAGCGAGGTTAGAGAGATTTTGAGACAGAGAGGAGATCATCAAAAAACTAGTCTCTTCACGGTCAAGGAACTAAACGACATGGTGTATCTACAAGCAGCACTTTCAGAAACCATGAGACTTTACCCTCCAATCCCTATGGAGATGAAACAAGCCACTGAAGACGATGTTTTCCCTGATGGGACGTTTCTAAGTAGAGGCTCTAGGGTTTACTTTGCTATTTACGCTATGGGGAGGATGGAGTCAATATGGGGGAAAGACTGTGAGGTGTTTAGACCAGAGAGATGGATACAAGCAGGGAGTTTCGTGAGTGATGATCAGTTTAAATACGTTGTGTTTAATGCTGGGCCTAGGTTGTGTTTAGGGAAGACATTTGCTTACTTGCAGATGAAGATAGTTGCTGCTTCAGTCTTGTTGAGGTACTCGGTTAAGGTTGATCCAGATCATGTTGTTGTCCCTAGAGTAACGACAACTTTATACATGAAGCATGGTCTCAAGGTGACCATCTTGCCTAGGTCGTTGGAAGAAGATAAGAGGTGAATATTCCACGTGGCATATCATGGAGAAGTTACTAGAGTCATGTTCATTGCAAAAGATAACATTTGATAGAGGAAGTTGATATTCTCTTATAATATCAAAAACTAGATTTTGACCCGCGCTTTCAAAGCGCGGGTTTATTTTCTTTTTCCTCAATTGACAAATATTTAGTAAATGTCATGTTTTTATATATTTGTGTTTTATTTTATAAAAGACTTAAACTTTTTATCTTTCTTTATCGTGTTTCATTTTAAATGACTATTAATGTTTAAAAAATTAAACTTTATTTCTTTAATGAATTAAATTGGTATAACTCTGATAAAATAATTTTATTATGTGATTACTATTTTTAATAAAAATTATATAGTTTTAATAAAGATTTATACTTTTCAATGAAAATATTCAACTTCTTATGAATATTTAAATTATATTAAGAAAAGAAAAAATAATAATTAAGAAAGTTGAAAAAAAAATATTTGAACTTGAACTCAATGGCCAAAGGAAAAAAATGATCTGATTTCTTAATCGGCCCAAATGGTCTAAGAGAGATCTGTTGTGAATAGTGGGCTGGATCTGCAAAAAATGACCCAATATAAATGTGTTATTAATATTACTTGATTGCCCTTAATGAAACATGCAAGGTTAATAAAGAAAATGATATTTTTAGGTAAAAAACTAATAGGATCCTGCTTTAATAGTATAGATTGCAATTTAACAGCTTCAACTTCACTTTATATATTTTCATTAATGCAATTTTATTGTTTAATAATTAAAATATTTTACTGAAATATGATTTTTTTTTTTAACACATTACTCAAATATGATTTTTTTTAGAACTAACAATGAAATATTAACGAAATGAAATTATACAAGAGATATACTAACGTTTTCTTGATTATTATTTTTCTATACCTAGAATGAGACTAGACTAATTTCTAATAGGTAAGAGCTTTACAGCAAATCCGATTTGGGAGACAGATCCTCCAACTGTTTGTACAGTCTTGAGCCTTTCAATGGCATTGTAGCTTTAATGATCTTGAACCATTGGCTCATCGGGTCACAAGAACTGTCCTTGCTCAGACACTTGCAATCATTAGCCACCACATTGTTGTTTGCGTCCACGTCAAGGCAAACAGAGGTGTTGTTACTTGTTGTCGAAGCTAAGTGCATCCTAGATGCTGAAATAGTCTGCCATATCGAACCTGGACTCGAACAACTCGTCTTACTCATCATAACTCTGTCTCCTGGTCCGTTGCTCTGTAAACACGAAGCCTGGTCTTTGCTTCGTAGGGTTTTATTAGTGTAGCTCCATGGTTCGGAACTGTTGCATGGACCAAGCGTAAGCATTGTCGTGTCATCGAGAGATTGTACTAGGCAGAGTCCGGTATATGGATGGAAAACCAGATTATAAGCATCAATTGAAGGGCCCGGTCCTAGTAAACCAAATCAAACCAAAAAAATTAATGACTAAAGCAAATCTTGTTTAAGCTTCTAATAACTTTTGCTAACCTTGAAGCTGAGATTGAAGAAGAGTAATCTTTTGCAAGAAACTTGCATTTCGAACGCTAAGCCAATCCGAATCCAACACACCATAATACTCAATCAAACCGACTTTGCCTTCTCTTAAGTAATAACTTCCGGTTAGGGCCCAAAGCGACCAATCAACATCATTACTAGCCGCCCAAGCGCTTACACATCCTAAGTAGCGGTTATCATCTGCGTTTCCACCTCTTTCGTCTATACCAAACTCGCTGAGGAACAAGGGAAAGCCTTGGCTAAGGAGAAACTCGCCACCGTTTCTTACCCGGTTTAGAACTCGACCGCAGATATCGTTAAGGTTATTGGTCGCCCAGTTTCCGTCACTGAACGAATACCAATGGAGTTCGAACACGAGTTTTTTGGTGAATGATAGTTTTACTGGTCGTGACCTGACGAATGAGAGATCGGCGTCGAAACTGAGACCGGACAGGATTACAAGTACGTTCTTGTTCGCTGCATGAACTGCTTCCGCTCCTTGTTGCATATACCTAGTAGGAAAACACCCGATTTATTATAATCGATTACTATAACGAAAAAAATGATAAAGATAACTTTCGTTTGTTCAAGGTCAACTTTCAACCTAAAACTTTGACTTTATAATAATCTCTTAAATCATTGAAAAATCCAAGAAAACAAACATTCTTTTTTTTTTTGATCAAAGAAAACAAACATTCATGTGCTGAATATATGCCTCATTAATTACTTTTTACTATACGTATACTTTATTTAAAGAAAGCTTAATACATTTTGTTATATAGTATATATTTTATAAAAAAAAATCTCACAATAAAAAGACAAAGATAAACTTGATTAAAGAGGTTTTACTCGTTCAGCTTTATAATTAAATTTGATGTAGTATGATATATATGCATATGGAAATTAATTATAAGTTACCGTACTTGAACCAATCGTTAGCGTTTTGTCTAGGCCCTCTAAGTTCGTTCCTTAGACTCATGCCAACGACATTAGAGACGCCGTCGAACGTCGCCGCCATTTTGCTCAATGCGGCGGCCCATTCGGTGGGATCAAAGAACTTGTCACCGAAGAAACCATTACCGTCGTTGTTGGCGCAGCACCACCCTGGTTTGGTTAGGTGGTTGTCTAATATAACCATCACATCATTGTTTCCTAATGTAGTAACCACCATCTGCCCAAAAAGAAAAAAAAAAGAAGTTTATAACATCATCGACATTTCATTTCAATATTTCTAAATTTATAGGATTGCGGTTTCAGTTAACATTGGTTGTTTTAGATATATCACGGGATTTTTAATATTTTCATGGCATGTGATCTTTCCACTATGTTTATATAGACCTGCCATGTTACACCATGAGTATTTTTTGACATTTTTAAAAATATACTATAACTAACTAATTAGTGAATTGTCTTTGCTTAAAACTAATTGCTGAATTGTCATTTTTAAGTTCTATAACATCCGTACGAAAAATTATCTACAGTATTTTTACCTACTCTGTACGAATAATAGGTTTGATATAAAATAGTACTAATGTAGATTTGCAAAGTTTGGTTGGATGCTTGATGATACATGATGTAGGCTATGCAACTTAATTAGTACTACCTCCGTTCCCGAAAGTAAGATTTTCTAAACTATTTACGCATATTAAGAAATATAATAAATGTTCATAGTTACATTTATTATTTGTTTTTCTAGCCACTTTTTAATAAATATCCACCAATAAAATTCAGTCAATTCAAATATTCATAATTAATGCTTCTTAAAAGTATACAAAATTACCTTAAAAATATAGAAAATCTATCTTTATGGAACAAAAAATAAATCCAGAAAATTCTACTTTCAGGAACGGAGGTAGTATATGAGAATAAATATTAGATCTTAGAACTAAATAAAAACGATGTGTGGTAAATTTTTTGATTCGGATGATCGGATCAGTATTGATGTTTTGCAATTTCAAGAACCTTTAGTCGCTTTTTAGTCTCATCTCCACACGAGAATTTAAAAAGCAGGTAAAAGACTCCATCCTTCTACTAGATAACTTACCAACTTTTGGGTACGAGTATGATTCCTATCGATTCTATATGCATGTTGTTGCATTATACACCCATTAAGAATAGAACAAGTCCCTGAAAAAATAATTATCTCATGTGACAGAAAAGGCAAAAGGCCAAACAAACGTCACGAGTGTTATGTGTTCTTAAGTTACACATTAACTTTATTTACCCACTACCAGACAGTTTTTAATTAAGAAATTGACGATGGACATATTTCAGCATACACCTGATTCCTGGATATTTTGTTTAACAACAATTCCCAACCAAACCCCAACAAGATTTGATTGAAAATTTTGTTTATGTAAAGTTTCCCACAAGAGTTGACGTGTTCGTTAGACAGTTTGGTTCTTCTACAATTATAATACGTGTAGGAGTTTGATAAGCAACATTGAAACTTGAAATTCATTCTTCTATCGATTGAAGTTCTAACTATTAAATTAATTAAACTTTGCAAATTAGTTGAACAGATTCGTTTTAATGTTTAAAGATTGTATCCCTAAAAGGGTAAAACATAATACATCTAACACCCTATATGCCTTGTTAATTATAAAACTTTATACAATTCATATCAAGAAGCAAACTAAATAGCAGCAGAAAAATATAAAAAGAAGACTATAACACAAAAGCCTAAAAAGACATATATATTCCTTGTCTTTCTAGATGATTTAATTTTACAATTCAATGATGCACCCATCTTATGTTTCAGAGATAAATAATCATAGAAAAAGAAGGATCCATGCATCTTATTTCATCATATAACTTTTTATTTGAATGTATTATCTAGGTGAAACGATATTTTATGGAAATAGCTTGTTTATATATATAAATCGTTACATATTTTCTGTTAATTAGCAAAATATGTTATATGTTCACATGACTCATGAAAAAAAGGATGTACTGATGGACACGTGCATGCTTATTCATATATACGATATGATGTATCTAACATTTGCAATAAATATATAAGTCATCTTAGTATAAAACCTATACGTTCAGTCAAAAGAAACAAAACGCTTTTCGATATTAGCATCAGAATTTAGTCTCGAACACATTAATTCCCTTGTTAGTCTATTCAAATGCCGATGTAACATTCACAAACTAAAAACCACATATTTACTGTAAAATTAATATAACCGACACAACTTTTGGAAGTGGAAAGATTGGAGATATTAATATAAAGAGTACCTTGAAAGCTTCAATGAGGGAGATATCAATAATGGAGGGGTTGTTAGTTTGGAAGCCAACAATGTCATCTTTAAGACCAAAGCTTTGAAAAGATTGTCTCACTGTGACATTATTAGCCAATGTCTCATTAGTCATCAAGTCCAACGCCCACGTTAACCTAACACAGTTGAAACCCATTTCAACTATCTTCTTGGCCACAGCGTCCACCGGCTGTTTGCTCAGCCCTTCAGCTACCACGGGCTGGAGGTGCGATGGCCAGTTCACACACGCTAGCTTCACTCGTTGACCGTTCTCGTCGACGATCCAACGGGAGCTTGTGGAGAGTGGATAAGCCATGTTTGGGACGGTGTTTTGTGCAATGAATGAGAAGAAGAAACAGAAGAATGGGAATATGCAAAACATGTGTTTTGGCTCTTTTCTTGTCATTGCTTGTATGAAGTTGTGTTTTCTTGTTTCTCTTGTGTGTTGGACAATCATTTTAACAATAGTCTTATTTATAGAGAGAGGGTTGAGAACTAAATGTCTCCGTCCTAAAATAAATGTTCTTCCTTTACTATTCATACATCATAAATTATAAATTATAAGTTTTGTTTTACCATTTTCTTTACGTTAATATCACTTGGCTTCCCCTTCGTGTTAACTGTAATCAACGTATGATATATTGATATATAAAAAATTTCTAACATGTTTTCTTAGAGTTCCTGAAACTTATGTAGCAGTGCTGGTGTCAATATCAGAAGTATGAGAAGTCTCTTAAAGCTAAAGTTCTAACACATTACAAGATTATATTTTTATATAATTATTATTAGGGATATATATCCTATATTGTAAATTCAATGGGACCTTAAATAATATATAAAAGGTTAAGGTCAATCCACTCATTGTCAATTGATTTTAAGTTAAAAACTCATAATAAATCTAAAATCTAATATGGTATCAAAACGATAAGATATTTTGACCTAATTTATTACAATTACTATTACTATTAATACTATACCGATGTTGGATCCTCTGTGTGGATGTTATTCTCACATTGTCCACGCTTGAGACCTATCAATAATTATCATGTATACATACTCCCACCAAATATCGTATACGTGAAAATGAAACGACGCTAACTGTCAAGATACTAGAAGAGTTATTTTCACTCAAGGACAGTTTTATGTTTTTTATTACATTATAGGGCAGTTAGTGCTCCAGAGGTAGTTTTTTAAAACTACAAGCTAACTAAAGAGTAACTATATGCATTCTCATCTTGAAACTAAATGAGTTTTGCAATTTTTTTATTTTATTTTTTACTCTTTCTTTATAATATTTGAAACAATCTTTCTCTCTCTGTTGCAATAATTTTAATGGTTAAAAAGGATGAAGAAATGGAGAGCTCTTCACTTCAGCTTCAGCCCAGATCTATGTAAAAATTTCTCATTTTTTCATATTTCTCTGAATCTCATATTTGTCGTAATTTGTTTTGTCCTCTTCTCCCACATATTGATTCATCTCGTCATCTTTTTCTTTTCGTTTTTACGACAATCCAAGTGTGGTTACTTCATCTCTCTCGCCGTCATGACACTGTAAATGCTCGAGAACATCAATGGCTACTTTTAAGTTTTTTATACTTTTAGTCCTTAATATTTTGTATAATTTTGGTTTTAAACCAAAACTTATTAGTTGTGCATTTTGGTCCTTAACGTTTTCTAATGTTTCTTTGATTTATTTTAAATTAACCAATTATGTATTACAACCCTTTGTTAATGAAATTAAGCAATATATACACATAATTAAATGCATTAGAAAATAAATTAAATGAACTAAAATCAAAGCTAAAGATCATTAGAATATGTATAACACAAAAAAAATCATGTGTACATCTCTTGTCATGTATAAAATCAATTTTATCTTCGATTAAGCTCAAAATTGACTAGTTAGGTATTACAACTCTCTATTCATGAAATTGGACAATATATGCACACAATTAATTCTTAAATGCAGTGGAAAATAAATTAAATGAACTAAAAAAAGCTAAAAATTATTAGATATGAATAAAATACAAAACCATGTATACATCTATTGTCATGTACACCATTTCAGTTTGACTTGATCTATTTATTATGTATTTTGATATTATTTTAGTAAGTAACCACCAATCCACCTATATGTGTACAATTTCTTTACATATATTGGTCTATTGTCGATGTACACGTGTACACATTCCAAAGTGTACACAAAATAACAATATATGCACATAATTAATTCTTAAATACAGTGGAGAAAAAATTAAATGAACTAAAAAGAAAGCTAAAAATCATTAGATATGAATAAAATACAAAATCATGTATACACCTATTGTCATGTACACCCTTTTCAGTTTGACTTGATTTATTTATTATGTATTTTGATATTATTTTAGTAAGTAACCACCAATCCACCTATATGTGTACAATTTCTTTATATATATTGGTCCATTGTTGATGTACACGTGTACACATTCCAAAGTGTACACAAAATAACAATATATGCACATAATTAATTCTTAAATGCAGTGGAAAATAAATTAAATTAACTATAAAAAAGCTAAAAATCATTAGATATGAATAAAATACAAAATCATGTATACACCTATTGTCATGTACACCATTTTCAATTTTACTTGATCTATTTATTATGTATTTTGATATTATTTTAGTAAGTAACCACCAATCCACCTATATGTGTACAATTTCTTTACATATATTGGTCCATTGTCTATGTACACGTATACACATTCCAAAGTGTACACAAAATAACCTGTCTATTTTTCTTAAACTTATAATTTGTTCAAGTTTCTACATGTGTACACGTCACAAAGTGTACACGCATGTCATTTGTTATTCTTGCTCAAAAACAAAAACTAGTCTTACATGCGGTGTGTTAGCATCGGTATATACGTGGACAATATTATACAAGTGAATTATTGTATATGATAGTAAAATTCTTATGTACACATGGACATTATATGGTTGTACACATTTTGAAACTAGCAAAATGTTCCAATTAGATAGTGTGATATTATGGTAACGTGTACACATATTTCTACTATCTTACTTCTAAGTCAAAGTATATGTCTTGAAACTTGTTGATTCAGATGAGTAATCTTATGATATAGTAAGAATAATATATTGTTAGTTCATTTTATCATTTTAAGTAACATTTTAAGTGATTTTATGATTTTAATCATTTTGAATGCATTTTGTTAGTTTATTTTAATCATTTTAAGTAACATTTAAGTGTATATATTGTATTTGTGTATTTAATTTAATGATTTTGAATATTTTATGTTAGGACACATCCTCACCTCTGAAGAGTATTGAGGTTAAAATTGAATGATATAAAAGTTAAGGGACTAAACGTGCAAAAATGTCAAAATTAGCCATTGTTGCTTTTGAGCTTTTTCTGATGGTTGAAGGGTTCATCAGTGAGGAACAGAGGTCACAACAACGATGAATCACGACAAAGAAGAAGGAATTGGAACACATCACGAAGGATTGAGTCGAGTGAAAACGCGACGGACTAGATTTGCCGTGTGATGTCACGATGAAGATGAACACGGCGGCCTACAGATCGAGCTTGCCAGAGGCTCGCCGGCGGTTTCGGAGCATTAACAAAGCATAACGACATGAGAAAACATAAACACCATGGTTGAAGCTTGAAATAATCTCCGCCGTTAACATCCCGTTAGATTGCCATTACACTGCCATGAAAGATGTATATTCACATATCTCAAAATTAAAATTAAATGATATATATAACGATTAGTTACAAAATTTCGTGAACAAAATTTTGAAAAAGCAAATTTGATTTTTCAAAACAAAAAGTGAACAAGGGAAGAAGAAGACGAAGAATAAAATTATATGGGATTTATTTTGTTTTAGTTGGTTAAGGTTAATTGAAAGGTAACTATCTGGTTGAGGAAAAGAGGAATAAAAGAGAAATAGTTAGAATAAACTGTTTTGGTAGCATAAACTGCTCTTTTATGTAATAAAAAACTTAAAACTGCCTTTAGGTGTAATTGTTTCAATACTAGAATGCGTGTAACGATTCTACTACAATTCGTGTGAGCATCTAAAGATAAATTAGCCGTTTCACCCCTGAAAATAGGTCTCGAACAGGCATCTACTTGATCACAAATTCCACCGCACCATCTTTCAATTAACTCAAATCAATATTTTGTAATCGTTCAAACAACAAATCAAAGTTAAAGAACAACATGTATCGAAGGTTACGTCGTTAAGCTATTAGATATGTTAATACTTTTAATGAACAAAACTAATAAACCATATTAAGAAGTGTACATGTCATTTTTGGTGCATATGTTATGCTAATTTATCTGAAGAAATGTCAATATTTAAGGATGGTGATATTTTGGCTGTAAATTCATTAATATTAGGTGTTTATATGGAAAACATATTTAAATATTTTTTTTTTTATTTAGGAAAATTAATTAACATCTAGAACGCTTGAGTCAAGCATTTTTCATTTTCAATATGTATATATACTAGCTTTGTCAACTCTATAGTTGATATATGTATTTAATGTCGACGTACACAAAACCAAATGCATTTACCTACTATCTGGATCCATTTACTTATTTAGTTTATTTATAAAAAAAGTTTTGATGCCAACTATTTATCTGAGCTGTTATACAATTACTTTAGCATTGTTTTTTTTTTGAAAAATTACTTTAGCATTGTTGTACATCACTAATTTGTAAAACCCTTCCCCCACTATATATGTTACACATATAAATTCAAAAATGAGAGAACAAAGTCGTGATATGTAACACTGAATGCAGTTTTATTTTATTTCCAAGGTAAAATTAGTTTCAAGTAATTATAGAATCGGCAACGCTTTTTCACAAGTCAAGAGAGACTTAAAAGACCGTTAAAGTTTAACCTACGTCCAAGTAAATACTTCTTTTGGTGTTTTGTTTTGTAACTCAAGATTTCCTAAACTAATATCTAAAATAAAAATTTTAAAACACAACTTTATCTGTAACTCAAGATTTCCTAAACTAATATCTAAAATAAAAATTCTAAAACACAACTTTATGATGTAGATTTCTTGAAGTTTACTTTTAGCTTCTAACAAAGAAAATCAACATGTTTTTGTTTCTAACCACCATAGCGAGAATTCGTTTCTACTTTTCTTTCAAAAATATTGTAGTTAAACCGACCGGTTCCTCATAACCGTCGGTTATCTTTCTCTTAATGTTTAATACTCGTTCAAAGCAGATCATGGACGTTGAGTTACCTTGTTGCTGGTGTTTCATTGCTGAAGCACTTGATACTAATTTTGACTAC